CTTATACAAGTTGACAATGAATATTTCGGCCTTTCCTTGTAAATTCTATAACTTTGCAAAGAAAGGTCATGTAGAGTTGGGAGAGGTCTCATTTTAATTAAAAATGTGCGGGCTACAAGCATGGCAATTTAAGAAAAGCTTTGGTTATTTTTCAGGGTTTCTGAAAAACTGGTTTTCCAGAAAATCGGGTCTTCGAAACCCTAAGAGCAGCTCTCATATTCATATTCGGAATCAGCATCATCGATAACCTATAACCCACTAGGTTTCGTTGAAAAAGCGAGGGGGCACTTAAAAACGTTCCCTCGTACGATAACTTTTCGATAGGAAAGAAATGTTTCTTTGCGAATGTGTACGAAAATATTTTCGTGTTTTGGGTCTAGTTCGGTTCACAGCTGCAAAATTTTCCGATCCATTCGAGTCGGGTCGGGTTCGGGTGAACTCACGTTCGGGTCGAGCCGGGTTCGGGTCACGTTTGGTTGACCCGTTTCGGTCTCTGGTCGCTCAACTCTCTAATGATATATCCGTCAACTTGTATAAGGTGAACAAAAGACCAAAAATGGTAACGTACAGACAAAAGGTTGACCGTTAACCGATTTTCATGTTAACATGATTGTGGAAGAAAAAAAATAATAAAAATTTTAGATGATCAGTTTATGAAGAAAGTTCGTCATCAATCAAGTTCTGATATCTTCGACATTTCCTCCTACTCTACTGAAGTGGTTTCATCAGATCTTCCTGTCTCTCAGTTCAAACAGCGATTTTTTGAAATTCTCCCGATGGATTTTAATAAAATGAGAAAAACTACGATCTACTGTCAAATTCATTGTATGCTTCTCGTCCTTTAAAGCTAAAGGTAACCTTTCTCACAAACAAAATTCAAACATAATTTAATCGTAAAAAAAAATTGCAGTTTTAACAAATCATGCAAGTATTATTTCATGCAAATGTTGTGCATGTTTTCTCCAATGGCGCATGCATATACATACATCATAGAAAAAGCTGACCATGCTCTTACCTCGTATTTAGAATTTTTTAAACATCGACAAGAAAAACAAGGTGAAAGTGCTGCTGCTGTCGATTATTATTATTATTTTGTTGAAATTTGAATTTTCTATTATTGTAATACTGATCAAATGTGACTAATGAACAACCAAGACTAATGAAAGACCAATATATGACGATATGTCCAATGAAGTTAACTGTCAAAATGAGGAGAAACACAAAAGAAGGCAAAAACAAAAATAAATAACTTGAAAAAAACGTAGGGGGAAAGAATAACATGAAAAGAAATGTGAATTTCACATGATGATGGAATATGGATTTCAAGTTACCTACCTCGATAAGATTGCTATTGTTCGATTGATAAACCATTTGTGGCACACATTGCAAATCTGATCGACTAGGAAGTGTATCAATAAAAGGTACTTGACGATGTTTATTAGATATCTATAAAAATTGAAATTATTTTAAAAAAATCGTCTCCAAATCACACATTATAAGACTGACGGATCAGAAAGTGTTTCAGAGTATTAAAGATAAATTTCCGACGTAGTATACTTTTGTATTTCGCTACAACTACAACTTACCTTTTTTGAAAATAATTCATGTTCATTGTCATCATCATTCTTTTGAAGTTGATTAAGATTGTCTGAGAATGTTGCATAAACATTCTGTTTTTGTTTTGTTATTGTTTTTTGTGATAATGTTGATAATTTAAGCGATAAATTCGGTAAACTTCCTGTTGCCATAATACTACTATTTGAACGACAAGATGAAGATGGTGATAGTGATGATGTTGGCGTCGTAGTAGCACCGGATGACGATGAACGGAGATCTGGTACACTATGAATTAATGAATTTTTCTTGTATAATTGTTGATTCGTTACTTTTAAAACAATATTATGATCATCATTTGATGGTTTTTCTCTAAAAATGCAGAACAACTATAAAGAATGTGTGTTTCCAGGAAGAATCAGCTATTCTGGCTCACTCGGTTATAACATATTGGTTGTGTTTAAGAAAATAAACTCGAAATAAATTTAAAATACGAACACAATATTGATTGTAATTAGTCGAGTCTGTATAGTAGATGAATGACGTACGATAATTATTTTTATCTATGGATATTGTTATCTGACGTTGTTTATTTGAACTGATTGCCACAACATTCTCCCAGCTAAGATATGAACAAGAAAATAAAATTTGAAAATCAAATTCTAATTATTTAAACATACTTTGCATCGAGTTTAAATGAACTTTCAAGTAATTTTGAATGTAAACCACGATAACTAGCGCCAATATAAACCGGATTATTCATTGTATTCTTAAATGAGAAAAAAAGTCACTACAACAGTGCAATTAGTCAGATAAAATAGATTACTTTAACAGGAAACTCTTCAAGTCCATATGAATCTAATTGCGATATTTCTTTAATAAACTTTTGTCTTGCCACGGATGGATCGAGTCCATTTAACGAGCAATAATTCTTATTTAGTGACTTCGAAAATAAGTCAACTGATTTATCGGTCATACCGACCTAAACAAACAACATAAACAACAGGCATTCTTAATAAAATAAAAATAAAACATTGTCGTTTAACTCACAGCATTTTTTAACATTTCAATAAATCCAATATTCTGTGCAAAATCAAATTTATCTCCAAAAAGACCTAAAAAAAATTTGAATTTATCTAGATAATATCTCAGTACTTTTTGACTTGTTTTACTTTGTACACAACAAGCAACAATCGAATAAATGTGATTGACAGGAATTGTGTATAACGATGAAATAAAATTCCAATAAATTTGTTGATAAATCAAAAGTCTAAATCAATAATAATAATAACAGAAATATCTCGATAAATTACTCATTGTTTCAATAGGAAAAAGTAGCAAATCGTAAAAGAGAGAATCGAAAAACTTTGTTTTGGATACATCTATGGGTAGGAGAATTTTTCTAAAACTAAAGTGGGCATCCATGGTTAATGATAGTAGACCCCCGAGCTCTCATCTGTCAAAAATAGTGGGAGAAAAAAGCTTTAAATTGTGGGGAAATTATTTTTTTTCTAAAAGAAATTCGTAAGATATTCTGAGTTTGACAATTGATAATGTGTGAGATCAAAAATATTTCATGAATAAAAGTTCAGTCTAAAAAGCGTCTCTAAATGTATAATAGAACCTGTCGTGTAATTCAGAGTTATCGAGGATCAAGACACATTAACAAATAACTAAAAAAATTTTGTTGTAAAAGGAGTACAACGATAAGCGAGTTTAGACACAAAACTTGCGCTTATACAGAGTAACGTGACGCTAAACATTCAGAAAATGCCCAAAAGACTTTACAAATTTGACTAATTTGATTTTTGGACTCTTGTTATTCCCGACTTTACTTCGATCTTTAAAAGACAAAAACAGGACACTCTTCAACCTTATTTTACCTTTCATTCTCATCAACAATAGAATATGGCTGTATTGGATAAAACATAATTGATAAATTTAGTATTGGCTTTAGTTCATCTTTTGACAGTTGCTTCCTGATTTCACACTCAGGATCTAGCCAATAGGAATGTTCATTAATCACATTGTAATATTTTAATCCAACATAAGATGACTAGAAAAACAAAATGCTACCATTTATTGAGATAATTATTCAAATGAATATTACAGACAATAAAAAAATTAGCACGAAATCCATGTTGTCAACATAAGCAACATCAAATCGCTAATGATTCGACTGTTCTACGAATGGTATACGTACATCTTTGATGTGAAGACGTTGTAAAATGTATTGAATACAATGTTTTGCTAAAGAATCGTGATCCATCAAACATTCGATTGTTGAATGTTGTGGACGAGAAAATACTGGCCATGATATGGACGATGAAGCATTCGATGCTAACCGTAAATAATAATCCGGTAAACGTACAAGAACAAGAAAATGATTTTTTGATACTGTTACATCGTATTTATATAATTGACTTTTACCAAATAACGATGGCATGTATCATCAATCGTGCTTTTTATTCTTTTTAGAGAAGTTTGTTCTGAAATGAAAGTTTGATGTTGTGTTATATTCAATTTTCTATAAGAGAAATAAAAAGAAATAAGAAGAAAAAGAGTGCGTTCGTATGTACATGTAGAATTGTTCGATAAATCATCGCCAATATACACACCTTAAACCGCAATCAAACAAAAAAAGAAAAAAGAGAACGAAACGAAAGTGATTTTGATATGATTATAGTAAAAATCAAATATATCTAGTTTTTTTATATGTTTTAAACACAAGGACTTTCATAATAAAGATAGTCATGCAACTCAAGTTCATAGCATCAAGTTTCCCGTAACAAAAATTCATATTCATTCTAAGAGATGAATACACATATCACATGTAAGAGTTTCTCAGAACAAATTACTGTTTAAGGAAAAAAGTATCATTATTCTTTTAAAAATCTGAATAAATAGCTTGAAACCGTTTAGCATCGTAGTACACATATGTCGATATTACCAATAATAGTCTAAATGAATTATACGTTTTATTTGCACGGATTAACTAGAAATACTGTTTTATTTTCAATAGACTATAAATGTTTGTCACAGTTTAAACCGTTATTGGAATGTATAAATTGGCTAAACAAACAAAACAATCTATAGTATTCGTCATAGTGCTCGTAAAGATGCGGCAGATACACTTTTTCTATGTTTTATCATCGAAACTAAAACAGTAAAAAAAAATAAATAATAAGATCAACAACAATAACACAAAATAACAAACAAACAATAGCTACGCGTGTCGATAAACTTTTAAATGGTTCTGTTTCGTTTTCAACTGGGCTTAAAAACAAATGTACAAAAGCACCATTTAGATGAAGTTCATTTCCGATAAAAAGAAAACGAAATGTCAAAAAAATTAACCTAACTGTAGTATCACAAAAAAAAGAAAACAAATTTTTCTTTGTATTTTAAAATATATGACTATGAAATGCATCGAAAGTTTTTGCTATTTCTTCATAGTTCATCATCAAACCGTTCTTCTTTTGTACGAGATGACGATTGTTGATAATCTCCAGATGAAAAATCTGGTGATGATGGTCGAATAAAAACACCCTCTTCTGCTCTCCAAACATTTTGACTATTCATATTTCGATATGCACATATTTCCTTTTGGCCATGAATAGGTCTTCCATAAGTGTCACCGGTTAAATGAAGATAGCTAGAAAGAAAGGGAGAAAAGAAATATAAACTTATTTTTTAAAGTTAAAAATAAAATAAAAAACTTGCTTTCCCGTTACAACATGTTGTAATCTTATTCCATTTCGGCGTTCCCAAAATTCATCATTATTATTAATGCAAACGACTTTCCAACGATCACCTTCGTCACCAACACCGTCCTCTCCGTAACAAGAGACCTCTTGATTATGAGATAAGGGCGAAACAAAATGATGACTATGTAAATTTCGTCTTGTTGAGATATGAAATAATCGTATGGTATCTCCACATCGAACTGGTGCACCTCTTTCACAATCGTTTTTCGTATCACCTCTTATTTGCCAATAAGAATTATGATCATCTGCATTTGGTGTACCAGTGACGCTCTGTTGTCCACTACCACTGCCATATTTGACATCATGGGAATGTAAACGATCACCCGATTGAATATTTAAAAGTTTAAAAGTCGATCCACACGTTACAAATTCAAGAGAGCCTACAAAGTAAGCGATGGAAAATTTAAAAAGATTTACAACTAGAAAAAACTTACCATGACAATTGACCACTAAGGTTGCAATAAAAATTATGAACACGGATAATAGACTGATAATAAAGTTAGTAATCATCTTTTCATCGATTTTTAGATCTAGAATACAGCTTAAACTTTAAAAATAACTGTATCGTAAACAAACCATTCAGAATAAAATAATAAAGTTGTAATAAAGAGATGACAACGAGGAGATGATGGTATAAACATTTTTCTCGTTTGTTTGATTTATGACTAGGAATATTTTTCTAAAAAACCTGTCAAATTTGACAAATCGTATGACACACTCTGTCGAATAAAATCTAAGCGATCTGAATACAATTTGACACAGTGTAGACGTAACGAAGCGTATTTCAGCGATCGTTGTCTACCCCGAATCGATAATTTGAGAAAATTCACTATTCGAACATTACCTATAGAGTATGTTTGTTGAATTTTTTATATTAAAAAAAATGTAATATATGTCATCAGCCTGGTAGCCTGTGTTCAGAAGACAATTTTTGTCTCACTAAAAGAAAACTGAACATTTGTTAAAAAGCTTGTTATTTATGATGTAGCATGTAAGATATTAATGGAGAATAGTGAATGATTAGTGTAAAGGACCCCCTACTTAAAATTCCCTCGATTATTGAAAAGTGAAAAATCTATTTGCGAACACATCGTAAAGTCTCACTCAAATTCCCTAAGTTCATTTCGGGATACGGTTTCTAATACCAAAACAATTTGTATCAGATAAAATTTGAAATTTTGATTTACAGCTTGTTACTTCAGAGAATCTTTCCTAATAATATGGGAAAAGATGAAGAAGTGAAGAGTTATAAATAAAAAATAGATAATTTTCTATAGATCAGATGTGAGTTATTCTGTTTGGCGAACCTGCTTTTTAACTTAAATCGTTCAGTGTGTTGTGTACAACCAGATACTGAAAATTGCGTTTTTCTTGTTACATAAAGAGTTGTGGTATGTTTTTTTTCTAGAAGAATTGAGATGATCTTTATACGATGTTGTTATTGGGAAAACAACTAATAGGACTAGACGGTCTAAACGCTCATATTTAACTATTACCGCATTCGTATTCTGAACTAGAGCCACTTTTTCGAATCTAAATCAGAAGGCTTCAAGTTCATTCCGCCCCCGCATAAAAAGTTGTTTCGAATCATTTTCTAAAGATGAAATTTCTGCTGATTCATTTTTCCAAGAACAGCTTTCGTTCGTTGTACTGATTCTGCTGAACGTTTGATATGTGTTATCTTGTTTATCTTCTTTAATTTTGTTATGTGACAAGAGCGTTGTTAGAATATTGTCAAATCTTTCTCAGTTCTCATGTATAATAAATATAACAAACACTATAATAATCCTAACTTTCGCATGACTGACTCGAAAGTGATCCGAGTCAGTACATTAAATTTAGTGAGTCTTTTGGCTCAAATTTCAGTCCAAATTCTAGAAAAATGTGACGCGGACTGATCCAGCTCTAGTTCAGAAAGTGTACAGTTCGTACAATCTGTGTATCGTCAAAAAAAGGCGTATCACTACAACCAACGACTCAATCTCATTAGAAATAGCGATTGTGGGTTTCATTAAGTACTGTTTACTCAGAACAAAGAAAACCCAGTTCCATGGTATTACGATACAGCTACGATTTTATATAGCAATCAGACTGAAACGAATCGGGTTCGGGTCAAATAAAAAATATGTAGGTCCCATTTAGGTCGCCGGAAAACATTTTCGATTTTTCAAGCGTTTTTCTGCGAAAAATCTAAAGTTACACGCCGTTTTTTGGGGGTTCCGTCGAGTTAAGGAAAAAAATTTCGTGCCGGGTTCGGGTCAAATGAGTTTGACCCGATTTGGTCTCTGATAGCCATATAGAAAAAAATATATACTGTCTTTACTCCTTTTACAGATCAGTAATTCGATAGCCATTAAACAGATCATTTCAATTAATTACCAGTGTATCGGACTTTTGTCAGAGGTTTTTCGTATCGATCCCCGACTTTGAAATCCTCAAGAGATTCTGATGAAGAACTTTTTCTGACTTAGTAGTGGAAAGCGAGGTGATGTTTCGGTTTCTCTACGGACAGATTTTATAGTAAAATGTGACATATTACTACTTTAAACCGTGGTTTTTCGAGACAATGTCGGATAAGAGCAGAGATGTGCAGGCATTTTCTTGTTCGCTAATTCATAGACCTATCAATAACTTTCAGCTCATTTCCGCTTCATTATGTATATTGTTCTGCCCTCTGGCAGCATACGCTTTGTCAATGTTTGCTCTCTCGTGCGATACATAACAAACACAATAGAAAGATAGTTCTAACGGTCAGATTTCAAATTCTAATTCTAAATCGAGAAAGTGAAACACATTGGCTATTGTTTTGTGCCACATCCCTTACTGTTCTGTTGCGTTGGACTCTCTGATTGATAATATGGACATGTCTGCAGGTCACGATAACCATTTAGTAGATTTCATGCACATTCTGGTTGTGAACGCTACAAATTCCTTGGATCAAAGTTTCAGATTTGAGCAAGGATCAAGTGTAGTTTTAGGAGAATAAAATCACATTTAGTCCTTGCTCAAATCTGAAACTTTGATCCAAGGAATTTGTAGTGTTCGCAACCAAAATGTGCACGAAAGAAGCACATTTTTTTCATTTACTTGCATAGCAGACGGCAAACTTGATGTTGCGGTGACTGGGCGAGGTACACAAGCCAGAAGGACTCCGTAATCCACAAACAAATTTTTTACCTTTTACATTGGTTATAAAGTATAACCAATCCTTACACTTAGTATAACTTATACTACGTGTAAGATTTGCGTATTCTGCTTTGCGCAATAATGTTTTTATTCTTGACGTACCTTAATCATTGTAGCTTTCTCATTCCGTCTTATGGCCTTTTCATATATATAACGAAGTGTTTTGGCAGAGGAAATTAGTAGAGACTTACTTTATTTTGAAACTGAAAATACTTGTGCTCATCACATGGAGAAAGAATAGGCGAAGTTAAAACACCCTTTGCTACGCTTTACCACAATTCTCCACGAAAGACAGTCACAAAATGCTATATCATTCTTGACATTTTCTTATTTTGCATGCCTTCATTTTAGAATACGAATCTTTGACAATGTCTCGTTTTATCACTTTTACGCTTTTGGCTCTACTGATTACTATTGTGTACGGTGAGTGACATAAGAGGAAAAAAGATTGAGCAGATGAATTCGTTGTATGGCTATAATAATCTTGATTTTGTTTATTCGTTCAGGTGAACAGTGCGAATCTCCGACATTCAGCGTAAAGTCTCATACGACAAAAGATGCTCGTTTAACAGCAGAAACAGCTGCTTCAGTTGAAATTACAGTAAAATGTAAAAATGCCAAAGGCAGGGTATGATTAATATTCTCAAATTAGAATAATTGTTCTATTGTCCATCTGTTTAGACGGGACCACTTTATGCTGATATTAACGGTTATATTATTCCATGTGGCCAATCTAGTAAAAATCTTGAAAAATACTATGTATGTTGTACAGTGATGAGTGTTACTCACTTATTTCACGTTTTACCTCCTCTATTTAGATTAGTCTTGCTGGCACTCACAAACAAGTTCCACAGGGCAAATATACCATTAAACTCTATGATGTCGAGAGTTATTCAATTCTGAGAAAAGTAATTGATCCTCATTCATAAAAAGATCCGAACATACTCTTATTTTTTTGTTCTAGGCACGAAATGAAGAAGCCGCTAAATCTGTAAAAGCATTTGGAGAAGTGGATTTTCATCATTCTGTAAGTTTTGTGATTTGTAAAGTACGAACGATGACTTACTTTAATTTTCTATACTCTAGGGTGTTAGTACGGGACCATGGATTCAAAGTGAATTTTTTGCAGCTGTTCTCTTCATCGGTGTTTGGTGGTTCTCCTATGTCAATCGTGGAAAAATTTTAGCTTAAAATAAATTGTCAAAATAGGAACATTTCACTATCAAATTGGTTTTGTGTTTGTTTTTATAGCGTAAAGATTTTTTATGATTATTTAAGTTCATGGGTGGTGAAGGTTTGCTTCTATTGTTGTTAACTTTTATTTTTTCATGCGATCTATAGATGTTTGTTTTTGTTTACGTGTTTTATTATTAAATAAAGATGATTTTTAATATTTATTTTCGTAAAATCTATTTAAGTCCATGTTAAAATGATTTACAAGTTTGTGACTTATGCGTAGACTAAGTATACATGAGAAGATTAAAAACGATTTCTATTCTATCTTTCGATTTTAATTCTATTTTTTGTTTTTTTAATCTGAATCAATCACGTAAAGCGTTATTTCAATCGCCACAGGTGACAAGTAATGATAGTATTTCGAATGGGTTGATGTTATTAAATAAAATTGAATTGGGAAATATAATACAATTATTTCGTGTTGAAACTGGAAAAGAAATGGCTTTACAGCGTTTACAAAAAATACATGATCAATCACTCTCATCTGATGCTATGGAGAATCAGATAAATTAATTGGATTTCAACGAGTTTCGAATTGTTAAAAATTCCACTATTTTTATCTTCTGTTCATATATAGAGAGATGTCTATCATCCCTAGGATTAGAGAAAGACAATATGATTTTAAGTTTCAAATATTTTTGTTTTTATCATTATGGTGAGATATTTATTAGTCCAATGATATGATTTGTATATTTTTAGATATATGCCGAAATGAATTTATTTAAATTAAATGATGCACTATCTTTATTAAAAGATCAATATTCTTGTCTGAAACATGTTCATCACAAAATACTGGTCCCGTTACCTCCAAGTCATATTAATAAAGTAGGAAATGGAATTAAACGTGTTTTAAATGACAATGCTATAAATGCAGCAAAAAAGTAAGACACTTATCATTTTGAAACGATCAATTGTCGTCTGTATAGATTTTTCACTTAAGACTATCCGGTTATCCATTGGCGGGTGGTAAAATTCGTGTTTTGAGTTCAATGGGTTCAACTTTTCAAGATGAAGCATCTGTCTGGGTACCCGTTTCAATGGAATTTGTTATATTTGTTCCACAACAAGGCAAACGTGTTCGAGCCACTGTATCAAAATTAGGAAAGAAACATATTGGTAAGATTTGAACAAAACACTTTTTCAAAGAGATCTATTATGTTTGGAGTTAAAAGTACGATTAGTGATGGTTACTAAAGTTTGAACACCATTGTGTGCACATTTACAGCAACAGTTTGTGAACGTGACACTGAGCTTTAGCTATTAACAGCAAAATATTTTGTTTATCTGACAAAATTTTTGTTTTATTAGGTTGTTTGATTCATCAGCGATTTAATGCCGCATTTCATCGTGATACTGTAGCTGAGAAATATTCAAATTTTACCTTTAAATTAGGACAAACAGTTATATTAGAAATAAATGATTATGAAGTTGTTGAACAAATTTTACAGATAAAAGCACGTTTAGTTGAAATTGAAAAGTAAATGATCGCTATACCTTGTTTATTATTTTTTTATTTGTTGTTATCAAATATTTTTGTTTGAGCACTTTCGTTTGTATTTTATTAAATAGATATGAATGGAGAAAGGTAGATAATTGAGATCTTAATAATGAAATATGTACGATATTCATTGTTTGTTTTGCGTTCAGAAATAAGCTGAAAAGATATAAAATTTTCATCGAATTATTAACAGATCTGTAAATGAAGAATAAGAAACTCATTTTCATATCTACTATCGTTTATATCTACTAATTTATTCCTGAAAAGATATTTGATGAACATTGAACGAATTCTTATTCACATATCATGAATAGATATGAGTAGAAGTAGATGATTTTGTAAAAAGTACTATTCAATGGGTATAATTAATCTCCGCTGCGTTCAGATAACATTTCTTGTGTAGGAAAATTTTTTTATACGAGAAAGAATATCATATGTTACGACAATGTCATTTTCTACTTGTATAATAAATTCTCAAAAAGTTGATTTTTTCTTTTTTCTGTTGTCACCAACTCTAAAAATAGCAGAAAACGATGTAGTGAGCTCTATTATCCGGTCTGCTGTCGCTTATTTATGACATAAGATAATGATTGAACATACGCACTAACGCAGCTTTTTGTACTTATTTTGAATATCTGGATTTGACAAGAAAACAATTTTAGGTATGACCACTTTTAACCTAATATTATAACTAAAAAATTTATTTACATTAAAATATGCAGTACATTCGTTGTATACATGAAAGTCAGTTAACAAAGTTTTCCCATAATATTCTTTTCGGTTCCTAATTCATTTTATGTTCTATCGAATACAACACAAAAAGCAGCAAAGAGTCTTTGAGAAACAGTCGTTGAAGCTCCTTGATCATTTGCCCATCCCTTTGACGTTTATCTCAATGTATATTTTTTATGTAAGTTTCAAAGAAAAAAGTTCAAATCTTTGTTAAATTATTCTAAGGTTAATCACGTTCGCACACCCCAGTCGAAAATCTCCATTGAAGCAAGATCAGTGCATTTTTTCTGGCAAAAACCGCTTATAGCTATAAAACTCATTCATCTCTTCATGATAGCATTGTTTGCGAGTTTATTTGAGCTTGTTTACACAAGTCTTAAATCAGCTTAGCCGAAGCTTAACTTAAGAAGCTTATCTTTTGAAAGAAGTTGAATAAAACTACACAAGTATATAAGTAGTTTCGGTTAGTAAAAATGTTTTGAGATAAAAAAAGTATTCTTATAATATTTTAAAAACACAATCACACTCGTCATAGTTAACTACATATTTTTAGCAAACATTTTAGAGAAAATTGTGTTCCAAATTGTCGGAGAGGTATCTTAGGCAACAAATAATGGCAGTTCAACTTTTTAAAGTTTAAAAATTCATAAATGTTCATAATGTCATTTTAGTTATGTTCCTACAGACAAAGCTAGAATATATCAAGAAACAGCCTCATTGTTTCTTCTCCTTTCGTGATAAAAAGATGACCTTATTCTCTCGTGACTTTCTGATATTTTCTTTGCATTTGAACTTTTCCAACACATTCTCACACATGCTAATTAAAGGGAAAACTCACATTCAACAGGGTAAAAATTTTTATTATGTAGTCAAATAACTTGATCAAAAAGAATGTTGTCCTAAAGCATATCTAAATCGATAAAGTTTCACATTCTTGCATGTCTAAGTGTACGTGACTGATGTTTGGATTTAAACTGCGTATTAACTGCTATTGCATAGTATTATGCTTTTCGACTTTTTTTACGAACGTAAACGTGGGAATTTTTATTCCGGATCATCAGGCGAACAGTTTGAGTTTAGCTAATGAAAGGTTGTCTATATTTTAGATTTTGAGAAAAAGCGAAGAAGGAGGAATTTATTCTGTTCCTTTTTTTTCAATAGTAAAAACAAACATTGTGTTATGATAGATTTAAATGTATCTATATATAAAACAGACAGATATAATGAGATGGATTGTGGTAATGTATTCAATTCCATGGATCATCCTGGGAACAGGTAAATTTCAATATTATAGCAATTTGTGCTCATCTCAACAACGAAAGCATTTGTATTTAATATACTTTTTTCAAACGTATATATTTGTAAGAAATCATATGTTAACTTTTGTTTTTACGTTCAAAATGAATTCAGTAAGTTATTGGTTTTTTATAGTTGTCGATGAATTTCCTCCATGTAAAAATGGCACAATTTCATGTTCACAACTTCAGGCTGAAGTTCATGTTCAATTTGATGTTCAATTTGATGATCAAACAAAATGTATTAAGTTCGAGCAAATATGTGATGGCGTTCACAATTGTGAGAATGGAACGGATGAGACAATCTGTAGGTGATTTGTTTTAGTTTCCTTTTCCCTTTTTGCGAACTTATCTTATGAACTTTAGGTAATACCTGTAAGGATGTGTCCAAAACAAAGACTATAGGGTGTTATGTAGACCATGGAGAAAAACTAATTTTTGAATGTATGTCACCGACAAACATCTGTGATAACGTTACCGATTGTAAAGATGCAAGAGATGAAGATTTACAGAGATGCAGTAAGTGAATGAAACGTGTCTCAATAGTTTGTTTTTTCCAGTCTAGATGATGTTTTGTGTTTGCAGAATGTTTATCAGATCAATGGAAATGTAAAAATGGTTTTTGTATTGCTGATGATAAAAAGTGTGATGGAAAACCTGATTGTGCTGATTCGAGTGATGAAAGTTCAACAGTTTGTCATTGGTCAGATTGTTCAAATATAAGCCAGAGTAAATGTCCATCTGGTCAATGTATTTCAAATAATTTGGTTTGTTCAATTGTAACGCTGTTGCGAATGAAAAAAATAAAAAATTTCGTTTTTTTCTCTATAGATCTGTAATGGTAATCAAGATTGTTCCGATGGTTTTGATGAACGAAATTGTACTCATTGTACAACATCATACGCATTTCACTGTAAAACGTCTCATCAATGTATTAATGCATCTCATGTTTGCGATGATACTAACGATTGTTTAGTACGTTGAAAATTCTTCTTTTAGTAAAAAATAAATATTTTTAAAAATGATATTCTCAGGATGGTAGTGATGAAACAGATTTATTGTGTTCAACATCATTAATACCACGTAAGTAGTTTACTTTCAAATAGTACTTGTTTCGTTCTAAATGTATTTCGTTTTGTTGTTATGAATTCGTTGTTTAGACGTTTTTTTTGTGGCAATACTCAGTTGGTACGAGTTTTAAGGTTACACAATAACGTAGCCTTTATTTTATTTGTAATTCATGTAATACATGAATTATAAATGCTCTTATTTTTTTCTATGCTTATTGTAATTATTGTCACAGCAATTGTTGTACGCAAGACTTTCTTGAGGGGGCTGCTTAAAATTTTATAGCTTAAAATTTTCTGTATCATATACATCTTTTTATTCCTGGTGTCTAACATCAGATGAAAATTTTCTAAATAGGATCGTTGGTCCAACTGGCTCTCCCTCACTACGTCACTGCTATATAGAAAAATTGCACAACTTCTATTGTAAAAATCACTCGTTTGTCTATGATTAGCGATAAACGTTTTTTAATCGTGCACATGTACTCTTTATAAATTGCTCTTTTTTCAGTAAATGATCGTGATAGGATTATTTCTACTGCTATATAATCTAATCATTAGTGTTTTTCATGGCTTCAGTTAGGGTAGAAATACGATGAAAACTCGTGTCAGCTAGGACACGATGTTGTTGCCGAGAAAAATTAAGCTTTTAAAATTAAATATTTTATCCGCAAAAAAGCAATTGAATAGGAGAATGTTCTATCTTTTCTTTATAATTTAGACAATCTACCAAAGAATGATATTTGTTCAAAATCAGAAAATTATTTTGCATGTTCTAATACTGGACCATGCATTTCAAAAGATCATATTTGCGATGGACGGTTGGTTTTATAAAAAAAAAGGTCCATAGGCTTCGTTAAAATCGTTTTCGTTATAGATTCGATTGTCCAAATAAAATAGACGAAAGTCATTGTTCAAAATTATGTTCAGAATCAGTTTGTCCCAATCATACGAAATGTATCGAACATCAATTATTTGGAAAACTTTGTCGTTGTCTCAATACTGGTTATCATCTAAAAATGAAAAATAACTCCTTTATCTGCGAAGGTAAGAAATAAATGTTCTCAAGACTTTCATATAAAAAACTTTAGATATTATTTCTGATAGAATAAATAATACTAAACTATCTTAAGTACTCAGGATATCAGCAGCAAGCGGAATGAAAATATAAGAAAAAAATGAATTATCTGAATAAATAAGTATTCACACCTGATATGTTCTTTTCATAAAGAAACATATGATAAAATTCATTCTCGTTTCTGTTCTTCAGTTTATATATATAGTCAGATATGAATATTTATTCAGATAATCCATTTTTCTAATTTGTTGATGATATCAAATTGAGCGTCAAAACTCACTAAAGAAAAGAAAATATTTCAGTTTTCTAAACGTCGAGTAATGATGTTCATAACTGTTATATATATTTTCTATACTCTTATTTACTTAAGCATAAATTTTATTATTGCTTAAGATAGTATTTTCTTAACCCCTTGCCATAGAATGACGTGATGTTCATGTCACGAACTCTCCATCACATCGAGAGAATTTGACGTGGTTTGATATATATTTTTACTGTCACAAAACTACTTAGCAATCTCTGATTTCCACATAGATAGATAGTTTGAGGTGCCTGTCATCCCATGCAGCCAAAAATAAATTTTCAAAGTTAGATTAAATGGTTATAAAATTGCTCACAAAATAAAGGTCAAACTTTTTTTAGAAAATAAAAAAAAAATTGGCATCTAGACATCAAAACAAATGAGCCCATTGGTGGAGGATTTGATTCTCTGTCTGACGGTGTGTTTTTCAGAATTTTTGGAAGAAATATCTAGATCAGGAAATTAAATTTAAAATTTAAAAATTTAAATTTTTCATCACGAAGATTTGACTTTCATTTGTTTTTAAGTCCAGATTTGTAATCACCGTGAAAAACTGCGTCTAATGATGTATTTTTAAGCTTTGTTCAAGCTAAAACAAAAATTCAAACCTTTTCATCCGAAAAGAGTTTCACTTTGAGTATCTTGAATAAGAAAAATAATACTATGCCAGAAGGTTAAACATTGTGTTTTAAAGTCGTTTAAATGCCAGTACCGTATAAGATGAATATGTATTTTTTAAAAATAAATTTCTTGTTTACCCTGTCTCGCAGTTATAGTGAAGCTATAGCACGAGTCAAAGTTAAGCTTTTAGTATACCGATATTTAAAAATAGCTCCCAAAATAAATTTAAATAAAGTTTGTAACGGGTATTTCTCTATTAATAATTGATCTAATTAAGATGGTTTCTTCACATTTTATGTTTGTTATTGTATGTAGATGATCCCTTTCTGCAGAAGAAAATTTATCTGATCTGTAGTTAATGAGATTTTGTGTAAGTAACATGTTTTATCTGTATATTTAACACACTTTTTTGTGTGAAATGAGTCATTGGTGTACTAAGCATAATTAAACGAAATTAGTAGTACAGTAATATACAATTTCAATGATAAAATATTATTCCATTATAATGCAGTGTATTGAAAGCACCTTTCCCACTAAGTTTGATTAACAATTCATAAACTATCAGTAGCACACTTAAATCAACACCGAGACACGGATTGATTTATCAAAATCATGTTTTTTAATTAATTTCACACAAATTTTTCTAGATATTGATGAATGTAGTTCTCTTGATTACTGTTCATTTGAATGTGTTAATTTGAATGGTGATTATAAATGTAAATGTCCTACTGCAGATTTCGTGTTTGATGAAGAAACAAAATCATGTAAAAGACTCAATAGTAAGTAAAGATAAGTTTATTAATATACACAAATTCTTTCATTAATTATTCTCTTTAGATAGATCACATATTCAATTATTAGCACTTTTAAATGAACAACTTGTATTGTATAATATGTTAAATGTCATTATTGATCATGTGGATATACAGATATATCAGACTAATTTAATTCAATATGATAGTGAACAAATGTTCTTTCTTTATTATGATGATCGACAATCAACCGTATTCTGGTTTGTAGATTTATTTTTTATAAATTTAAATGTATATTTACTCTCAATATAAAACTAAATTATATTTTTTATAGTACACAAGCCAATAATAATTCAATTGTTATTCCTTTAATAACAAAGATAAGAGTCGGTGATTGGACATATGATTCAAATGATAAGACATTATATTTAATTGAAAATAGTACACAAACATTGCGTATTTATGCATCTATTACATGTACAACAAAATTCAGTATTAAGATGATTTCGTGGCCATTGACTGCTAAAACAATTACGAACTATCCGTTAATTCGATTAGATATTAAAAACAAGTAAATTATACTAAACACTCATCAATTCGTTTATTTTATTTGAAATGTTTTATGCTTAGATATTTGTATCGTATTTTTGATCAATGTATAATTCAAACATCGACTCATAATCCAACAACAGTTCTAAATATGTATGAAACTACTAAACAGATTCAAGGATTAACATACGGTAACTTTTATTTATTCACTTTGTTCATACAAAATAATGTAGATTTATCTCTATCATTCATTACAGATACACTGACACAACGAATTTTTTGGACTCAAAAAGAGACTGATGAACAATATGCAATTTACTCATGTAGTTTTCAACTCAAATCATGCTATGATACATTAATTCGACTACCCGTTTCACAACCTTTTATATTTTATAATGTAAGTATAGTACATCATCAAGAAAAATGAAACATGTATAAATAGAGTTTCTGTTGATGTGAAATAGATTTAGTCTTTTCTTTTTCAATTTGACAATAGCATAAAAACTCTTTTTTAAGTAGACATAGGTCTAAGTTAAAGGTAGAAAATATTTCATATGAAATATGCGGCTAATGTTTATCAATTTTATGTTTGATTTTGATACAGGATGGAATTTTGTATTATTCTCAACAGCGTCATACATTTGAATTTATGTATATGTTTGGTAAAAAACGATTTAATTTAATTAATGTATTTAATACTACATACGAATCCGTCCGTTCAATCGTCTTTCTCGATACACTCATCTATTATAATCATAGTTTGTGTCGTTCATCAAATCCTTGTAAATCAAATGAAATATGTTTAACAACAAATATTTCATCGTATACTTGTTTATTTGCAAATGAAACGTTAACATATGTGTCCTTTGTAACAAGTCCATCGAAAATAAGAATAGGTCAGCTGCCAATCAGTGTCGGAATTGTTTCACTGATATTTATATTTATTCTTGCCATTGTAAGTATAAAAAATGTTGATTTTAAAGAATGTTGAATGAGTTACTATATTTTGTTAATAGATCGTAGTACTTTTGGTAAAATGGTATCGGCATCAACTCGTCGATAAACGACAGCAACAACACCAGCGGTCTCCAATGGATAATACTGCTGATCCATTGGGATTCCCGTTATTAATAGATGATTAGGTGAGTAAAAATTGAGATGTTAAACGTAATTAATTGTGATACATTCAAAATAAAAGTCGATTATCATCGGTATGTTTGAAGATAATTATTCCACTCAATTATTATTCTCTGTGTTTCAGATGGTTGGATAAATGCCGCTCAATCAACACTAAATAGTCCAAAAGGATCTCCATCTCGTTTATTTTTGTTCACAATATTGGTGCATTTTTCATTTTTGTGTATCTCATAGTAGTCGAATTGTCATTTCAGGATGAACATGACATTTGTTTTATTTTTTTTTCTTCCTTTCAACCAATTTAGACAATCAGGTAGTACAATTAATACAACATTCCTTGTTTTGCCACGTTTTAAATAGTTTTTTTCAATATTATGCCAGTGTCTTTTACAGTATTTTCACTTTTTTTTTCTCTTTAATGGGAATTTTATTTTTATTATAAAGCTGATTTTGTTTTCTTACCTTTCACAGTTGCTTTTCGCATGCTTTTAGTTTTCTTACCGTGAAGTTTCGTTGTTATTTTTATATTTTTTTTGTCTTCCGCTTATAATTTGAAATAACAACAAACAGACTTTGGATTAAAATGCATGCTGTAAGTTGATCTTAGAAAACAAGAAGCTACTCCAATGATTACTCAGAAAATATTATCAGAAAAAGGACGGGGTCCAAAAACCGGTAGAAAGCTGCCTCTCCTCAAAATGTTTTAATTTCGATGTAGATCGATAGAGAATTCAATTTTATGTAGTTTTCGGAGCTTCGAAATGCATTTTGTTACAAAAATAAATTATCAAAGTTTTTGATGCTGGATTTTTCCATTAATAATTCACTTTTGATAGGAAATGCGAATGGAATTGTTTTTCAAATATACCAATCGATAGAGCTCGACGAGCTGATCAAGAATATGTGCGAAGAAATGCTTGAAACTAAAAATAACCGTTATTTTTTTATCAAAAAAACGCTTCGAATCTAAGATTTTAGTACTATCTGTTACGGTATTTCGCTTTTTTCTCTCCCATTTAAGCTTTAATGACAAATCATTCCTAGTGTGATAGATAGTTCGCGAAAGAGCTACAAGAATATATATAAATAATGGAGTTAAAGGTTTGGGATCATGGTGAAATCGTGACAATAAGTTCAACATCCTTCAAAATCAGTATAAATTTGGAAATGCAAATTTCCACGATCAAGAATCGTTTTCAAAGCGAAATAAAGGTGATATTCATTATAAGCGCTAAAAAGTGAGTTGAAAGATGTGCTATTCATGATTTTAGCAAAGTTTTTGTTTCG